TGTCATGAACCCGCTCTAGGCTCGTGACAAAGGAGGGAGACCACACAGAAAATGTAAAGGTTTTAAACAAAAATAAGTTTAATTCAACAATATTCACGATAACAAATTATAATATGTATGTGTACGTCAGCAGTGGCGCTTCAATCTTGAATGACCCCCTTTGAGGCCCCCCAGGCCCCCCCCCCACCCTCAATAAAAAAAAGAACACAAAATATTGCACAAACTGTTATGTTTTATTATAACAACATAAGTGAAGCAGAGAATTATATTTCTCGATTGCACAAATCCTTCATCAGAACAATTGGATTTAACTATTACACTTGGAACAGGAAACACACTTTTTAAGGTGCACAATCTCCACCTCCAACATTGCCAAAAGACAATGAATACAGTTCTGCACAAAATATGACAGTATAAGTTATCAGAACTTAAGCCCTATTCGCACGGCACTAGTTTTACCTGGGGACCTCATGTGGTTTAGTAATTACCCCACCAGGTCTGTGTTTCGTGCGGCGCATTTGCACGGGACAAGCAAAGTCTGTGTTTTATCTCGGATTTACCGACATTATCCCCCGGATATGATGTCAAGGCTCTGCATAACCTATGCGTAACAGTCTGTTACTAATCTGACATTACCTTTGCTGGTACCGTCGGGCCTGCGGAGCACTGTGCACTCCTCTATGCTGTCGAACGGCTCGAACATCTTTCTCACATCAGTGTCCTTCTGCTGTTTTCCCAGCATGCCCACAAACATCAAAATGCCGTCAGAACTTTCATTTATAATGGCCAACGCAGCCTCCATAATTCTCGACCGGGAAAAAGGCAGAAAAAAGGCGTGGAAAACACAAAAAACCTTAAAAAACAAAAAACAACCCCAAATCACAGAGATGCCGATTAGCATGGGACTAATATTATCACATGACCTCTGTGTTTGGTGAAATATGGTAGGTAATTTGCAGTGGAATTTTTACTTTACAAATTACGGACATGGCGGATTCGCACGGGATTAGGATCACAGACGACCTCCGCAATTATTGCAAATTACATGAGGTCCCCAGGTAAATACTAGTCCCGTGCGAAAATGGCTTTAGAGAACCACAAGGACATTACCTAATTTTGTTAGCCATTTCACACAATTCAGAAAAACAAAAGTGCATGAACTTATGAATGAAATGTGCGTTATTTGGAAGAAAGTCGAGGTGTGACTGACTTAAAGTGGATCCCTGGTTCCCCCCCTTGTCCGTTCCTTTAGGGAGACGCAGAGGTGAACTGTCCACTGTCCGATGACATTCGCTTACAACAATCCAAAAGTTTACTGATAAATTCATAGTCATAGATTCATATTACCTGGGTCTTACTTTACTTATTTACTTTAATTTGGTGACTTTTTACTCACCAACTTCATCGGTGGTATCTGGGGATGTTGCAAACGTCAGCAAGGCAAGAAACCCACTGTGAGATGCACAAAAAGTTGTAAGCAAAGTGTTATATCATAAATGCTTATCGTAATATGTCTGTAGCTACTTAGGTTCGTCCTCTGTAAGTGTCAAAGTATTGTACACATTGCCTGAGTATATCAGCTCTGCCTGCGACCGAAATTGCCGCCATGCTTCAGGTAAATTTGCTTAATCCCAGTCCATCTGTGGCAGTGATCAGCAGATATACAACCTATACTCTAACACCATGTTGGATTTGCCCTATGGCTTTATGATTTATATCTTTAATAACTGAGATCGACACCACTGTCACAAATTGGTTGTATATTCAGCCATCTTGAGTCTCGGTACACACATACAAATCTCGCAAGACTTTTATACACTTGACCTTTAACGTGAATGCTGGGCATCCATATGAATGCTCAGCCAACTTTTGACACATTTTACTCTGTATCTCTATCTGTAAATTTCAATACATTTTCTACTAGCCACAAAGTGTAATTTATTTATCAGTTACATACTACAGATGTATATAGATATATAGATAATGTACATTTACCACAGTGACCATAAGTCACAAGGCATAAGGCCTTATTCAATCAGCCAAAAATGTTCCCTTTTACTCACATATTCGTATAGTTTTGGTGAATAGGTGCTGTCTAGATACAGCCTAGGAAATGTGTTAGCAGGTGATGACAACATTGTGTAGGTAAACTTTCATTTGGCGCCCCCCTTGTGTTATAGCTGCTCCTATAAAGTCTTCATACACAATCATCTCTCAGAAGGCTGCATGCAGCTCAACAGAAGACATCTGTCTATGGAAGTTGGTGCCACAATGCTGTGTTGCAGGTATGGTTTAGTAAGCTTATGCCCTTTGACCTGTTGATGTGTTTCTGTCTGTGATTTATTGTACGTTTATGTCACATGCTAAGGGTGTGTAAAGTTGTTTTAGTCAATGCAAATTCTACCAGTTGCAGCTGTGAGATCTTTCATATTGAACTTATTTGACCAAATCACCACAGGAAAGTTGGCAGAGATTAAAACCTTTAAAACCAGAGACAAATATGACTAACAACAACTCATTGGTTCGTGGTGAATCCCTAATGCGAAGCATTGATTACAGAGTCATTTTAGTTCAGGTTTTTGTATCACTTTTCCTTTGCATAAACTTAATGCTAATCACAACCTTTTTATGAAGGAGTTCTTCTATACAACCATGCGCTACATCTTATTTGCTAATACATTACTGTCGGACTGCCTGATCTTGATATTAACCAATTTCTTGCTCATCTTTGACTATTTTCATTTGACCATGCAAATGTGGTTGTGTCTCATTTTCTACATTTTATCATCTGTGTACACTTTTGTCACACCAGTTACTCTGACTGCAATGACCCTGGAGCGCTATGTGGCCATTTGCATGCCCCTGCAACATTCAGAGATGTGCTCCACACGCAGGTCTCTGCACTGTATCCTCATCATTCACAGCCTCAGCTCTGTACCCACCATTGTGGTCCTCTTAATCTTCTTTGCATCAGCCTCCCTTAGCTTCTACAAAGAATACAAGGTCTGCTCTGTGGAGATGTTCATATTTCACAGTTGGCAGGATCATCTTAGGTCAGCTATGAGTCAGTTTTACTTCTTGATCATGTGTATCATCATTGTATTCTCATATGTTAAAATAATGAAAGTGGCGAAAGCTGCATCAGGAGAGAATAAAAAGTCAACATGGAAAGGGCTGAGAACAGTAATTCTTCATGGTTTCCAGCTGCTCCTCTGTCTCATCCAGCTGTTTAACCCATTCATCGAAGGTGCTGTACTTAAAATTGATTTTATGTTATACATTAATGTCAGGTACTTTAACTACATTACTTTTATTCTTGCTCCAAGATGCCTGAGTCCTCTTATTTATGGCCTCAGAGATGAAAAGTTCTTTAATGCAATGAAATACTTTGTTCTCTGCGGCTTGGATAAGAACTTACAGCCCTAATTCTGCTACAGAAAGCAATTTTTTAATGATCTACTCTCAAATTACTATACCTTACTGTTGCATATGATAATAATTCATATTTAGATTTAGATGTATTTATTTGCACATTAAAACAAAACAGCAGAACCACAACAACAAAAGCAAAGAAGCAAATGTGTGCAGGTGAGGTTGAAAACCATTAGAGGGTTATAGAAGGAATGTCTTTGTTTACGGCTGTATTAATAATGCTTTTTGTAATTTTGCTTTGTAATGCTATGGTTTGCTTTTGTACTTGTTTAAAATAAATGTTGATTGCACAAAGACAATTCAAGCCCCAATTGAAGCTGGATTTTCTTTTAAAACTCAGTCTATAAGGATATGACGTGTGTCTTCAGCACAGACAAGGCCCCAAAACTGACAATGTTAAGTGGGCAGATGTGTCAATTCATATAAAAAACAGATTTTTAGCCACTATTGTTATAAAATCCTGCGATTTATCTTGAATTCTGACTACCAACTATTGTGTGTGTTAGTAAGCTTAGCATGCCACTTGGCCCAAACATGCCATTTGTCATCCGGTCAAGTTGGTGGCTCAGGCGGTATGCTGGTTATCTTAGCACAATGATAGCATGCTAGTTAGGTCCTTGTGTAACTGGGATGTAGCTTCATCCAATAATGTGAATAAGCAGTTGTTCCAATATGGACATGTTCCTCAAGTACCATCTCTGAAAGTTAGTGTCAGGAGCTACGCCATTTCTGGCCAAAAGCTTCCAGAACACATTAATGATTCCTCTGAAATCAGGTTTGCACCATCCAGGTAGATTCAGGTAGGCCAGGAGATTAACAACTCTCCTGGACACAGGAAATATAATGTTGGGCTTTTCCTCTCTAAGAAACACTCAAATGAAACTGAAAATTAAAAAAAAAAAAACTGAATAGCACACTTAAATGTGCTATATGTAGGGTTTGAAGATTTCTGACTTTGGTTGTTGGTGATTTGGATTGCTGGTAGTTTCACAACTATTAAAACTATCCAATCCAATCCACTTTATTTATATAGCACGATTTTAACAAACACAAGGTTTCCAAAGTGCTGCACAAAAACACTATTAAACTGTTATTTCATCAATTTTGAATCAGAACAGAAATTAGAAAATGGTTTACATAATTAATAATTCAGTTAACTGTCAGCATCAATGAGTTTATTAGCCATACAAGAACAGAAAAAAATTGGGTAATTAGCATTGCAACTCTGTCTGCAATCTAAATCCACATGGAGAAAAACAAACCATGACTACATAGTGCTACCATCAGTGCACTATCCCCTCATGACATGTCTGTGTAAGGTGTTGCTGGTTGCTGAGTAC